TACAGTACTTGGTAGTTACAAATGCTTTTTTGTTCATTCATTGTCCTTAGTTAGTGGTTGTATATTGAGAAGCACTATGATATAATGAATTTAGGCTTGGAGTCAGGAAGACTTGGGTTCAAGTCTTGATTCTGACACAGGCAAGCTTGTGTGACCCTGGTCAAGTCATTTAGCCTTTTAGTGCCCAAGCCAACTCACTAAGTTAGAGAAGTTAGCAATCTTCATCATTAAAGGGAATTTCCACACTTGTATTTCCCTATACTTATGAAATCATGGACATGGACAAAGATATAACTCTCCAAAACCTAATATTAATTTCCTAATATATTCCCCAGAGCATACACATTACTATGTGTATGGTCATTATTTCCTTAAAAATACCTGAAACAATGAGTTTCTGAGGTGGAAAATGTTGGGTGGGACACAGAGGAAAAGTGTGGCCAAATTTACCAGTAAAGAGAAAGCCAATTACAGAATGAATGAAGGAATAAAATTAAACTGTTTGGTGCTTGCAAGAGCTACAGCTTAGACAATCAGATTCAAAGTAAAGACTGGGGAAAAAATCTGTTATGCTCAAGCTGTATCCAGAAAAAAAAAGTTATAATCATAATCACATGTAAGACAACAGTAAACCTAAATACTTAAAATAGAGACAAGTAGAGAAACAACCTTAGGACTAAAAACACCACTTATAATGAAACAATGTCTATATTAAGTGTGCATACATTTTATTAAATTCTTTGAGGAAAAGCTTACTGAAATGAAAAAAGAAAGAGCTAGTTAGACGCTAATGTTAAGTGACTTTAACATTACAAAACCAACAGAAAAATACGTGAAAATAAAATTAGATTTGAATTGTGTTGGGTACACTGGATGTGAAAGATCAGTGGAGGCTTCTGAATAAGAATGTTAGAGAATACACATATTTCTCAGGCTTCCATGGGATCTAATCCATCACATGCTAGGGTACAAAGAGCACATAAATTCAGAAAGCAAGAAATCTTAAACACATACTTTACAGACTGTAGCACACTTAAAATGGTACTCAGTTAAGGGAATATGACCGAAAGACACAGATGTAAAAGGAGACTAAGACACAGTATGTCAAATAATGAGTGGACCAAAGACCTAATAATAGAAACGATGAGAACTTAAGTAATTCTTAAGGGAAAGTGTGTGTGTGTGTGTGTGTGTGTGTGTGTGTGTGTGTGTGTCCCTGCACATTATATTAACAATAGAGAAAAAGAAACAATGATTTGACCGTGAAGTAAAAAAAAAAACACTAGAAAAACAAAAAAATTTAATCCAGAAATGAACACAAAATAAAGATTTTAAAGATTTAAAGGCAAATTTAACAGAATTAGAAACTTTATTAACTCATTAAATAAAATAAAGAGCTGTTTTTTCAAAGACTAAGAAAATTGATAAACTATTAGCTATTTTGATTTTTAAAAGAGACAGCAAGACCAAATTAACAAATTGAAAAGGGGATTTCACAACAAATGGAGAGGAAATAAGAAAACTATCAAACTGCCATACCAGCAAATAGCAACAGAACTGAAAGCCTAAGTGGAATGGATGAATAACTACCAAAACCTAATATGCCCAAATTAACAAAACAAAGGCTAAGTAACCTAATCTTGATTTCATAAAGTTAAGTTGAGTAATTCATAAATGAATTCTTATGGACATGTAAATTTTTGTCAAATATTCAAGAATAAAATAATCTCCCTACTACATTAACTGTCTCAGGATTTGTTTTCTTTACTTTTTGAAAAAAATTAAAGTCCTGTTTGTCAAATGAGGGGAATGATAAAGCAGAGAAGGAGAACCATATGTCAAAATCACTCATGAATATCATTGTAAAAAATATTACAATAATGACTAATTATAGCATTGTATACCCCAAATATTCATTATGACCAAGTTGTATTTATATCAGAAATAAAAGGATGGTCCAACATTAGGAAAACAATTAGCAAAATAAGTCATATTAATAATTGAAAAACAAAAATTACATCATTGTATCATCAGATGCAAAACAAGCCTGTAGCATAACATTCATTTATGTTTTAAAAAAAAACACTAAAAAGCATAGGAACAAAGTAGAACCATTCCTAATATCAAAAACATTTATCTAAAACTAAGAGCTAGCATTATTTTTAATGGAGAAACATTGGAAACTTTCCCAGTATAATCAGGAATGAAGCAAAGATGTTGACTATCACAACTGATATTAGCAATAGAAATTCTGGCTATCGCAGTAAGTTAAAGAAAATAAATTAAGGGAATAAGCATTATAAAATTAAAGGACATGTTAATCTTTTTGTGAATTATCTGATGGTTTACTTAGAAAATTCTGGAGAATAAGAATTGAGATAATTGCTTTTACAAGAAGTAGGCTTCAACACAAATCCACAAAATCATCCAAATTTCTAATAAATCAAGAAGAAGAGATAGAGAAATTCCACTTAAAGTAACCCTGCATCAAATATCTGGCATTGACCTACCTACACACAAGTTTAATATAAATAAGACTGCAAAACAATTTTTTTTGTTTCTTGTTTTTTATTTAATTGTGTCCAACTCTTTTACAAAACAATTTTCACCAAAATAAAGGAAGACCCAAATGAACAAAGCATTATCCAGTGTATATAGCTGAATCGTTGGGCCATGACAATATGAGGAGAATGTTAGTGTTTGTTGTAACTCAATTTTTTCAATCATGTCTGACTCTTCATGACCCCCATTTGAGGTTTTCTTGGGAAAGACAATGGAGTGATTTGCCATTTCCTTCTCCAGCTTATTTTACAGATGAGGAAACGGAGGCAAGCAAGGTTAAGTGATGTGCCCAGGGTCATGTAGCTGTTAAGGGTCTGAGGCCAGATATGAACTCGGGAAGATGCGTCTTCCTGACTCCAAACCTGGCACTCTATCCACTATGCCACCCAGCTGCTCAATTTATACAGTTTACTGGCCCCCATTTTTTTATTCTATATAGAGTATTCTATAGACTCATCTTCCCAAGTTCAAATCTGGCCTTAGACACTAGCTGTGTGACCCTAGGCAAGTCACTTAACCTTGTTTGTCTCAGTTTCCTCATCTATAAAATGAGCTGGAGAAAGAAATGACAAACCACTCTAGGATCTCTGCCAAGAAAATCCCAAATGGGGTCATGAAGAGTCATATACGACTGAAAAGAATGAATGGTTTGATACCACTGACCTAGGATAGCCCTCTCATTACATAGATGAGAAACTATTGTGATTATATAAAAAAGGCTTTTCCCTAGATAATGTTAAAGTGCTATAGGTGTTGTCCCCATTTCAGCTGAGGAAACTGAGGCTTGTAGAAGTTGTGACTTGTACGTAGTAATGCAGCAGTAACACACCAGAGGTCCTAGTCTTCTTTACTCTGTTCTCTGTACAACACTGCCTCCCTGTGGTGACAACAGGAAAGCACCATGACGCAGTAGACATTTCAATCCTCATCACTTATCACCTCTATGGCCTTGGGCAAATCTTACCTTGTCTTAACCTAAGCTTCTTCATAGGTAAAATGGGAAGATGGGACGAGAATACCTCCAAGTTCCCTTCAGTTCTAAATATGTGATCAGAAAATAACTTAAACTTGTGATTGTGTGGATTTGCAATTGATGTGGATACCTGGTCCGGCGGTACAGATCATTCCTCATCCATCCTTTCTCATCTTGCACATCCTTTGCCCTTGTCTTCTCCTAAATCCTCAGTATTTTTCCAGAGCCTGTGTCTCCACTGGAGCATGTGCCCTGTTTATCTGTCATCCATCATTTGCTTTTGCTATGGAATCAACCTAATTATGGGATCAACCTAACTCCTTCTCTGGGCACACATGTAGTCTTTATTGATACCCTCCTTTCTACTTTTTGTGCACAGTTATTCACTGGTAAAGGGGTATTGCCTATTCCCACTCACCATGCATTTCATGGTCCTTTGAATTTTGTACTTTTGAAGTAGTTTTCAGAGAGAGAGAGATGTTTTAGTAAAATGGTGGAAATGGAAGCCACAGGATAAAGACCATATTTTATCCATCTTTGTACCCAACCCAGCAGCACCTAAGACAGTGCTTTACTCATATTAAACACTTAATGAATATTGAATTAATGAATCTCCAGCATACTATAGTATATACATATATTAATATTATGTACTGATAACTCATATTTAGTATGTAAAAATTACAAAGTATTAAGCAACAATGCAAGTATTATTGTTCCTATTTTATAGGGATTTGCCTACAAATAGCTCGTAATGGCAAACCTGAGCTCCTAGTTCAGTTTTTTCTGACTCTAAGTCAAGTGATCTTTCTGTTACAACACACTTTCACTCCCATATATAACAATATAATAATAATGAAGAACATTCAACTTGTTTCATTAGGCACTTTTTTTTCAAAACATTTTTTGCTTATTATGTGCAAGACATTGCATTAGGTGCTTAGGATGCAAAAACAAACCAAAAAGGACCTCTGATTTCAAGGAGCTTATATTTTAAGGTCCTATCTCCCACGAAGATCGTGGGCATATTTTAGGGAGATATCCAATCCATTCGTTGGAAGTTTGAACATCCTTAGCACTTAGAAGAATCTTATTGGGAAGCTCAGAAAATCTCTTAGCTTACCATCATACCTACTGAACCTTCTCAAGTCCATCCATATGTAATATAGCAGTATAACACATGCATGTCAGTTGTCTGGAGTACTTTGGCTCTACATTCTCTACTTGAACTAAATTTCTTATTTCTTTCTTCTCCCAAACCTATTTCCTTACAGATCCAGTCTGGTTTCTTTTAAGTTTTAGGCCCATATTTGTTCCTAGTTACTTAAATATTTACCCTAGAAAATGTTGGCAAATATTCTTTCTGTTCCCTGTTGGATTCCTTTCCACTACTAGAGTGATGGAGCTGGGAAGAAAACACTACCTACAGCCAACCATATATTTTGTTTTTTTCTCTTCCCACCAGATGGGAAGCATTCCAGATCATGGTGTCTAAGTGTCGGAAGGCAGTGGACTCTGCACTCAGTGTACACAACTATTGTGTGGACTGTGAGGAGACAGGCAAGTGGATTCTGGACAAGACAGAAGTGGTAGAGTCAACAAAGGATCTTGGCCGGGACCTAGCAGGAGTGATTGCTATCCAGCGGAAACTGTATGGACTGGAGCGGGATGTGGCTGCTATCCAATCCCGGATGGGTGCTCTTGAGCGGGAGTCCCAGCGGCTGATCCAGGAGCATCCTGAATTACAGGAGAACATTGGGAATCGTCAGGCTTACATTGAGGAGTTGTGGCAGAAGTTGCAGCAAGCCCTGAAGGGTCAGGAAGCATCCCTAGGTGAGGCCAGTCAACTGCAGAAGTTCTTGCAAGACCTTGATGACTTCCAGGCATGGCTGTTCATGGCACAAAAGGCTGTGGCTTCAGAAGATGCACCTGACTCCCTGCCCGAGGCTGAGCAGCTCCTCCAACAGCATGCAGCCATCAAAGATGAGATTGATGGACACAAAGATGACTACCAGAATGTCAAGGTTTCCGGGGAGAAGGTGATCCAGGGCCAGACTGACCCAGAGTACCAGCTCCTGGGCCAGAGGCTTGAAGGTGTGGACACAGGCTGGGACGCCCTCTGCAAAATGTGGGAGAACCGGGGCCAGTTCCTTACCCAGTGCCTGGGTTTCCAGGAGTTCCAAAAGGATGCCAAACAGGCAGAAGCAATCCTGAGTAATCAGGTATAGAGAAGGAGGTGGCAGAGGGGTAGCGGGGCAAAAGAAGACGTCTTCTGGCAGCAAGGGGAGAGACTGAGGATGTCTTTATTAGTTATTGGGATTGAGTTTTTTCCCTTTGAATCCTCCCTTTTCCTGACTACACTTAGGATTTCTATCCCCACATATCAAGCCGACCACTCCTCCTCCCCTTAGTCTGTTAGAATAGGGGAGCCAAGATAGTGACCTAAATTTCTCCCTGAATGGTTAACATCCCATATTATAAGACCCACAAAGGTATTTTGGGAAATCACAAGTGAAGGACTTGAGACCCTTAGAGTTTTCCTGGCTACCACTGTGGTTTGGCTTCATACCCCATCCTGGGATTTACTCCAATAGGAATACACTCTTGCTCACCTGGAGCCTCCAGATTCATTAGAAGCTGCAGAAGCTGGGATCCGTAAGTTTGAGGATTTCTTAGTGTCCATGGAGAATAACCAGGATAAGATCTTGAACACTGTGGCCTCTGGGAACAAACTCGTCAGTGAGGGAAACATCTACTCTGACAAAATTAAGGAAAAAGTACTGCTGATCGAGGACAGGTAATCCAATGCTTGGGGGATGTATATCAGGTAAGAAGTTGGATTAGATAACTTTTAAGGCAGGAGTACTTAATCTGGGGTCTGTAGATTTCGGGAGCTTGCAAACTTTGATAGAAAAAAATTGATCTCTATTTTCGCTAACCTCTACCTGAAATTTCATATTTCTTACAGTAATGAAAAGGAGGTCTAGTAGGGACCCGAAGGAAACCATGACACAAAAAGGGTGAAGAACCCCCACAATAGGGGCAGCTAAGTGGCACAGTGAATAGAGCACTGACCCTGGGTCAGGAGGATTGAGTTCAAATCTGGTCTCAGACACTTACTAGCTGTGTGATTCTGGGCAAATCACTTAACCCTGATTGCCTAAAAAAAAAAAAACCTCCTTCTAAAAGGCTTAATATTCTAATATTTGGTCACATAGTTGTTAATAATAGCGAATAGCTAATATTAATGTAGCACTTACTATGTGCCAGGCACTGTACTATATGCTTCATAATTATTATTTCATTTGATCCTCACAACAACCCTGGAAGGTAAGGGCTATTATTATTCTCATTTTACAGATGAGGAAACTGAGGTAAATAGGTTAAGTGACTTATCCAGAGTCACACAGCTTGTAAGGATCTAAGGCTGAATTTTAACTCAGGTCTTCCTGACTCTAGACCTGGCATTCTATTCCCAGGGCCTTGGCAATAAGTCAAAGGAAGGGGACTGTTATTTCCTATATTTTTATGACTCTCTTGACCAACTTTCCTTCTAGGAACAAGAAGAATAATGAGAAATCCCAGGAAGCAGCACTTCTCCTGAGAGACAACTTGGACCTTCAGAACTTCCTACAAAACTGTCAGGAGGTAGTACTCTAGAAGAAGGGTTTAAAGAATTAACTTTCCAGAATTAAAGGACTCTCCTACCCCCATCTCCCAACCCGTCCCCAAATCCTTTAAAATCCCTTCCAAATAAAAAAAAAATATGGTGTACAAGGGGGGAAAAAAAACAGAAGACATCCCAGAGGCTTGACTCCCTGTCATTTCAGATGGCCTCTAGCTTTTCCTTTTTCTTCTGGTTTTATATTGTCTTCAGGAAAAATAGTCTGATATAAGGTTTAGGACCTCCCCTGGTGATCTGACTTGAAGGGAATTGCCTGCTTTCTTTTTTAGAAAAGGTCATCTGCTCCAGGGTTTATGTGTGACTTCACTTCACACCTGAACTTTATACTCATTATCCCTTGCCTTTACCCCCTCAATGACTAGTTTATTAGACTTTGGAAAGGGATGCTTTGGAATGATGCAGGCTTAATCCCAGCATTAGCACACCAAGTCAAGTCAACCGGCATTTATTAAGCATCTACTATGTGCCAGGAATTAGTCTAAGTACTAGGGATACAAATAAAGGCCAAAACAATCCCTGCCTTCAAGGAGCTCACAAGCTAATGAGAGAAAAAACATGCAAACAACTTTTTAGAAACAAGATGTTTTCAGAATAAATTGAAGATAATCTCAGAGTAAAGGCGTGAGTAGTAAGCCGGAAGGGGGAAGGCTTCTTACAGATGGTAGGATATTAGATGAGACTATATGAGAGTTCACATGTTAGAAATCTTTAATACCCATCACCATACTTCTTAAGCTGTTTATGGTTATAAGTCTATTCTTGACCTCATTCCTTGTCAAACATTTGCTCTCTGTTCATTAGCAATATCTTAGCTAGAATTTAAAGATCCAAGAAGGCAATTTAATAAGCATTTATCAAGTGGCTGATTTTTTTAGAGTATCATGTGGGGACAGCCATAGGTACTAAATAAGAATCCTTCTGCCCTCAAGGAGTTTCCAGTTTGGTGGGGTGATACATTATATAAACAAAGAGCTCACAATAGAAAATAAGTATTTCTTATCAATAGAAGATAATAGAATTGTCAACAGTATTATACTGGGTTCAAGGCCAGAAAGTTGGGCAATTAGAAGGATGTTGGGGACAAGTAAATGGAAGCCCAGTGTTAACACTAGAAGAACTCCAACACCAACTAGGGAAGGGGTTTTCCTATTCAAGCCAGGTAGGGGTCTCACACATTCTCCTCTTAGCCCATTGCACTACCCTGGCTCCTGTGGAAGCACTTCTTTCACAAGCCTGACGGGTGGTAGGTTTGTTCTGAGTCCTTGAGAAGCAGGGTATCGCCATGTTTGTGGAGGATTCAACCCAAGTTTTCTGCCTACAGCTCACCCTCTGGATCAATGACAAGCTACTATCATCTCAAGATATTTCTTATGAAGAGGCCCGAAACTTGCACAACAAATGGCAGAAGCATCAAGCATTCATGGCAGAACTGGCTTCCAACCAAGGGTGGCTGGAGAAAGTGGATAAGGTAAAGCAGATGGGGACTGGCCTGCCTGGTTGGAGCTTCACCCAGATCATGTGCAGAATTCTTGGAATCATAGGATTTGGAGGTGCAATAACTTCATTTTAATAGCTCTTTTTATTCAGGAATCACCCTTCAAGGTCCTTAAATAGACACTGTTAAGCCTCTCAAACTCCTGTAGAATCAACACCGTTATAGATGGGGACATGAGACAGCAGAATTGGTAGTGACTTACAAGGGGCAGTGTCCATCAGGATGTAAAAGTTGTCCTCAGGACATTTTGGACAGTATAACCAAAGCTGGTAAAGTTGCTGAAGGCATGTTACCAGGATAATGATAGTTGTTTATGGTCATATTTAGTTTTCCTCATCTGGGCCACCAAACAGTGTCCAGAATTAGTTGTATATAGGATGTGGCTGATCAAGTTCCTGTTGTTCAATTGTGTACAACGTTTCTTAGCCTCATTTGTGTCTGGAATGGTTTTGCCATTTCCTTCTCCAGCTCATTTTATAAATGAGGAAACTGAGGCAAATGAGTGAAGTGATTTGCCTAGGGTCACACAGCTAGTGAATGTCTGAGGCCAGACTTGAACTCAGGAAGAGGAGTCTTCCTGACTCCAGGCTCCGCCTTCTATCTACTTCACCATCTAGCTGCCCAGCTGTTAATCAATAACATTGAGAAGTGTAAAAAGATGGTGAATGATTATTTTTATCATCTTAAAGATGGAAAACCAAGAGACTTCTCAAAAAGAAGGGATTTTATGAATAGTTTAAGATGTGACATAGTTTAAAATGTGACAAGAATTAGACCCAGGAATTTTGCATTCTATAACTGCAATGATGCTTTTTTTTTTTTTAAGAAAAAAAGGTTTATTTTATTTAGCACTTGGTATCAGTAAAGTTTTTTTTTTCATATTCCTGTCTCACATGATTCTCATAAAGAATCCTATGAGGTTGTTAATACGTGTTTTACTGTCTCCATTATAGATAAAGAAGTCAAGGGTGAGAAAGGTTAATTAATTTGCCCGATGTCTCATAGCCAACAAGCTCCATAGCTGGAATTAAACCCAGGCCTTTTGACTCTAAATCCAGAGCTCTTTCTGCTTTCTTTTGTATCTTCTAGAATTTGTCCAACAAAGAACAGGTGTAGGATGGATATTGTTAGGCCCACCTTTGGTGGGGTTTGGTGCCTCACCATGTAGGTTTCTATGCAAATTAAATCCAATTAAAATCATTTCAAGAGGAAGAGTCTTAAAAGAAGATCCTGGAGGTCATAGTAAAGAGTGGAGGAAGACTGCAAAAAGAGAGAAGTTTTATATTAGAGGTGATTTGGCCGGGAGATTTTGGACAAATTTATGTAGCTATGAGCCTCAAGGAGGTTTGTTTGTTTTGTTTTTAAGCACAAACTGGTGAGATTGTTTCCTTCTCCCAGCTTCTACTGCCTCATTGAGTTGCTAACTAGCACCCATCCCTGTGGCACCATGGCCCCTGCAAAGGCTGAACTCTGGGTGTTTTTACTGTCTTTGAATTAGTCCTTTTCTTGACCTTGGGATTGTGCTCCCTACTTAATTCTCTGTTCTTTCAGTGCCCTACCTCAATGGTCATGGGCACTGCTTCCTTCTTGTAGAAGGAGTCTCCCCAGTCATCCCTGAAGGCCTCATGGTGAGCTCTCTTCTTCATTCCCCATGCAGGAGGGAAGGCAGCTGATGGAGGAGAAGCCACAGTTTACAGATGTAGTGACGCAACGGCTGAGGCAGCTGCACCGACTCTGGGATGAGTTACAGTCCACCACCCAGGAGAAGGCCCAGCACCTCTTTGCCGCCAGCCGCTCAGACCTTCACGCCCAAACGTACGCTGACCTCAACAAATGGATCAGTGCCATGGAGGACCAGCTGCGGTCTGATGACCCTGGCAAAGACCTGACTAGTGTTAACCGGATGCTGACAAAGTTGAAGGTATGTGAGAAAATTGTGTAGTTTTATAGTTACAAAGAATTCTCTTGTAGATCTTCAGTTCTTCATAGATGAGGGTATTGAAATTCAGAAATGTAAAGCTGCTAGTTAGTGACAGAGCCAGGTGTCCTAGGCCTCAATCTTGTACTTTCCCCCAGAATTCTACGTAATTGTCTCTTTCTCCTCTAGCACTTTCCTGATTGATGGTGGTTGTGATCCTTCACTGGTGGTAACTGGTGGAGATAGGTCCATGGGTTTGTTCCTTGGAGGGAAGTGAAGCATTGCTCCACTTGAAATTTAGCTGGGTCTTTATCTTCATGGCTACGAATATCAGACAAGACAAAGAATGGGGGGGATCGTATGTTTTTCTCTCAATACCGCCAGAAGCAAGAACTCAGAGCAACTGTGGCCGTAATTCTTTCCACCTCCAGCCAGCACTAGCCAGTGGTATTGGTCAGCATAAATAGGAACAGAGTTGTCCTGTGTGAAGTGGAGTAGGCAACCACTTACAGAAATATGATTGAATAGAGCTCTAGGAAGACTCGCCTCTTCCAAATTTCTCTCAATTCAGTTGGAAACTGAGGCAAATGAGTGAAGTGATTTGCCCAGAGTCACACAGCTAGTAAGTGTCTGAGGCCAGACTTGAACTCGGGAAGAGAAGTCTTCCTGAATCCAGGCCCCGCTTTCTATCTACTTCACCACCTCGCTTCCCAGCTGTTAATCAGTAACATTGAGATGTGTAAAAAGATGGTGAATGATTATTTTTATCATCTTAAAGCTGGAAAAACCAAGAGACTTCTCAAAAAGAAGGGATTTTATGAATAGTTTAAGATGTGACAAGAAGAGACAGGGTAAGGAAGAGGGAGGGAGATGTACAGGGTTTGGCATATATATTCAAGAAGGACAGCCTTGGTGACATTGGTGTTCACCATGGGACCTCGGATACCTGAAGGGACTACAGTAAGGGGGAGAAGGCTGCTTTTAGGAAGTAGGAGATCCGTAAGCACCACCTTCATCTATTTCACAGCTTTGCTGCAGACAGGCCTTGATGCTATAAGATAGCTTTCTCAGGATTGGGTTTCTTGGTAGACGTTACCAGGGGCTCCTTTGCTTGGAGTATGACAGAGTCATGGGCTTTGGCTACAGGCTAGAGGGAAGAAAGAAGTTTCAGTTGCTGTGGACTTGGTTATCATCTTTTTCCTCTTAGGAGATGCAAAAATGTTCTTAGGGGAGAACTTGGGCTCATGCTTAATGCTTTAAACTATATTTTATATTGTATATGTATCTGTAAACAGCCTTAAGTAGGAGGGGGAATATATCCTAAAAAAATAGGTAAGTTAAAAATATGCTGTATTGGTCTAAATATAAACATTACCCCTTAGCTGAGATTACTTTGAGAAGAAAAAATAATTGGTATACATTATAAAATAATTACACAAAATTACTGTTAATATATATATATTATAAAATTATTTATATATTTATATTTCTCTTCAAATAAAGGGTTTTTATATTAATTTTTCTCATAGCTGCCATCTTCATTTTTGTTCTCCTGTTAACCAGAGAAAAATTATATACCACATTTAGTTTTCCTAGTAGCTGGCTTGCTACTTTTTGTAGTTTTTTTCTGTAGATTTGTGGTTTATTCTTAGAGCAACACAGTTGTAAGTGCTGTAAAGTTCCAGAGGAGGAATAGCTTCTAACATCCATCTTCTGATATAATCAAGGAAGGCTTTAAAGGGCAGATGGGATGGATTGGACCTTGAAGGGAGGATTGGATGTGGATACATGGAGAGAAATACCTATCTCATCCCACTTCAAGGGTTGTTTGGGCTCTAAGTGTGGGCTGACACTATGTTTCTTGGATTTCAGAGGGTGGAGGATCAAGTGAATGTGAGGAAGAAGGAGTTGGGAGAGCTGTTGTCCCAGGTGCCCCCAGTAGGGGTTGAAGGGGATGGTACAGAGCCAAGCATTGAGAAGCGGTTCCTGGACCTGCTAGTGCCTCTGGGTAAGAGGAAGAAACAGCTGGAGTCATCTCGAGCCAAGTTGCAGATCAACAGGGATGTAGAGGATGAGACGGTGAGTCCCCAGCCTCTCCCTGTCCTCCACATAGCTGTCACCAAATTTCTCTCAGTCTTTCATCAGGAGGTACCTCATTGTCACTCAGTTCTGTTCAATTCAATAAACATTTATTAAGCACTTACAATGGACAAGGCTCTGAGCTAGGCTGGGGGAATACAAAGATAAATATGACACAGCTGGCCTTCAGGGACCTTACGATCTGATGTATAAAGGATAAAAGGAAAATGCCTAAAGTGAGATCCAAGCAAAGTGCTGAGAGAAATTTGAGGAGAAATAAATCACTTTTACCAGGGATCACTTCAAGGAGAAAATAATGTCTGAGTTAGGCTTGAAGGAAGGGAGAAGACAGAAATAAATGGGGGCAATCCATTTCCATGTGTGAGCAAAGTCACAAAGAAAACAAAATGAGACTGGTTCATTTTGGCTAGAATGAAAACTGCATGAAAGGGAGTAGTATAAGAAAAGAAAAGGTAGATAAGTTGGGCCATTTTGGGGGGAAGGTCACTGAACATCAGAGTTAGAATTCTGTTTTATTCCATAGACAGTGGGGACCCATTGAAGGTTTTTGAGTTGAGAAATGACATCACCACACTGTATGACTTGCGGTGGGGCAGGGTCTGAAAAATGGATTGTGGAGAGGGTAGACTGGCATACCACTTTGTTACAGCCTCAGTGTCATCACATCCCCTCACTTTTTGGTCTTCTTTAGCTCTGGGTGGAAGAAAGGCTACCACTTGCCCAGTCAGCTGACTATGGAACTAACCTCCAAAGTGTGCAGCTGCTCATGAAGAAAAACCAGGTGAGCCAAACACCTCCCCCCAACTCACCCTCCTCTTCATGGTGGCTTGATCCTCTCTCTACCTGGGAAGGCAGGCCCCATCCCTAACCTAAGCAAGGCAGTCTATAATAGATAGGCTAGATACATGGATGTATTTTCATCGGTAGGTTTGAGGTCTCAAAGCCTTACCTGGTACTCTAAGGGAGAGAGCGCATTTTGAAATATATAGAGAGAATACAAATTTTGAGGGGAAAGAATGTGTGGGACTAGGCCTCTCAGGCTCTGAGTCTTTGCCTTCAGGTCACCAAGGTGGGTGAGGGGTCAGGTAAGCCTTTTACACCCTATCAGATTGTTATGTTCTCCTATTAAAGTGTTTGCCTATCAGAGACATGTCCTGGATTTTAATGAGAAGAAACCAGTAAAATTCATCTACAGGATCACCTCCCACACTTGCTGGTCCTGTTTTCAAGGCTAAGTTTGGACCCTGAGTAACATTAGGACTCAGAAGGTTAATGGGACACCAGAATTATTTTGGCATTGAGGATACTCTCTGGGGACCAAATCAGACCAGAAGACTATTTAAGCCTGGGATGCTATTCTCCGAGAACACGTCCATCTGCTAGTTGATTTTCAGCCAGGGATGGGCTTTGAGCCTGCCTGGCACCAGTCAGGGGATCAGGGTTTTGAAACTGAACAGATGCCAAATGTGCCGTGTTTTTTCAAAATGCAGACTACTAAATAAAGCTAAATGTGGGGAGGAGACTAGTTTTACAGTTTCACTGTTTCCATACCCATCAGGGACATGGTTGCAGATTTCTCCCATAAGCAGAAGGCCTCCTTTGCCCCACTCGGACCAGTATCTAGGTCAGGAACTGGTATGCAGGCCTATCTTTGTTTGGGGAGGGTTGCTTTTCGGCCCTGGGAGAACAGTGACAGGTGCCCTTGGGAGAATTACTGGTTGGGAGCATTTAGAGTTTCTTCTGAAGAATAATGGACATTGTAATCTACAGGCAGGACACAGAGTCCTAGGAGTCATGCCAGGACCTGGATTATAAGGAAAGAGCCTTCCAAAACTCCTTTGGTACCTGTCTCATGCTTCTTAGTCACATGAGTCCCAATGGCACAGCCAAGTGAGAGTCTAAGGAGAGGAGAGCTTACTAGACTTGAGGGTCTTGAAGGGTAGAAACATGGCTTAATTTTCTTTATAATTCTTCTTCATTAGGAGAAGGAGCTGTAGAGGACATGTGTATCATTGAGGTCAACATCTGGCTTCATAAATTTTATCACCAAGAAGGTTTCAACTTCCCTGGCTCTGGGGTGCTGTTTCAGGAAATAAGGATGAGATTCACCCTACCAAGAAGGGAAAAAGGATCTTTGGGGGAAAGATGGTGGTGTGTATTTGAAAGAACACTGGATTTGGAGTCAGAAGACCTGGGTTCTAATCCTGGTTCTTCCACTTATTACCTGTGTGACCTTGGGCAAGTCACTTCATCTCCAGAGGCCTCAGCTTCCTTCACCTGTAGAATAATTCGATAACCTTTTAAAATTCCTTCTAGTTCTAGCTCTAAGTCCTGCGACCAAATGTTTTAAACTGCCTAGGTTAGCTGAGTCAACTGGAACAGAAGATACTTCAGCTAAAAACTTGGGAGAAACGTTTTTGAAAAAAAAAGACTTCATTTTAAAGACAGATTTGTGGAGATCATGAAAGCTCATGGGAAGGAGAATGGGCAGGTTGTTGAAATAGAAGCACAAAGATTCTAGCACGTTGGAGAAATCTTTGATTAATATTGGCTTTCAGCAGATTTGGGGGAGAATGTGTTAGTATTTAAGAATTTATGCACCTGTAGTATTCTGGTTACTATACTCTATATACTGTACTGCTCTGCCCCTGCCTTCTGGAAGCTTTCCTCTTTTAAATATATTAGGAAATCCTATACAAGGAGATATGAGGGACAAAGCAGCCTGCCCAGCTAGCTGCCCCACAAGAATACAACACTGATGGTGGAAGAAAAACAAAACCTATCCTGAAGTCCAGGAAAGGTGAGAAGAAGGTCAGGTGTGATTAAAGAGCTGCCCAAGGAAGTGGGGCAATGGTAGTTACCTAAAGGCCATTTCAGAAATGGCCATTCCACAAACTGATGGCAATTCCTCAAAAAGGGGATACTTGGGGGCAGCGAGGTGGCACAGTGGATAGAGCACTGGCCCTGAAGTCAGGAGGACCTGAGTTCAAATCCAGCCTCAGACCAAGCATTTGACACTTAACTAGCTGTGTGACCCTGGGCAAGTCACTTAACCCCAATTGCCTAAAAAAACCCCCAAAACAAACAAACAAATAAACAAAAAAGTGGATGCTTGTCATCTGGAAATGGTGGGACAAATTGTGGTAGATAAATATAAAGTGTTATCGTGCTGTGAGAAACAATAAATATGAAGAATTCAGCGAAACACAGGAAGACTTGTGAACTGATGCAGAATGAAATAAGCAGAACCAGGACAGTATTGTATATAATGTCGACAGTTTGGTAAATGAAAAGAACATGAAAAGGAAGCCCAACTCTGAATAACTGTAATGACCAATCTCAGTCCCAAAGAACAGATGATAAAATGAAATCTCATTTCAGTAGAGAAATAGTAGACTGAAGAGGCAGAATGTTTTATATGAGATAAGTTTTGGTTACTATGTCAGGTGGTTTTGTTAAACTGTTTTTCTTTGTTAATAGGGAGGGCTTAGTGTATGTGTGTATGTGCTTATTGGGGGGTGGGTGTGGGGGAGAGTTATTCAGAAATGACTGTGATGTAAAAACATAAGCTTGTCAATAAAATTTACTTTAAAAAAGAGTGGTGGTTGTGCCAGGCCATAGGTCTGGGGACAGGAGGATGGAATCAGTCTGTGAACAAGCATTTAAGTAGTGCCTATTATGGGCAGGGTTCTGTGCTAAAGGTTAGGGATATAAAGAAAGGCAAAAACACTGTTTCTGCTCTCCAGGAGCTCAAATTCTAATGAAGGCAAAGATGTGCAAACCAACTATGTAAAGTATATGTGTGTGCATGTATAATTATATACATATAGATGATATATATAGTTAAATATATGTGTGTGTGTATATATATGCATATATATACACACACATATATACATATATACATATATATACATATATACATATATATACATATATATACATATATATATATATATGTATATATATGTATATATATGTATATATGTATATATGTATATATGTATATATATGTGTGTATATATATATGTATATAGATGATATATATAGTTAAATATATGTGTGTGTATATATATATACATATATATACACACACACATATATACATATATATATATATATACATATATATACATATATACATATATGTACATATATATACATATATATACATATATATACATATATATATATACATATATATATATACATACACACACACACACACATATAGTGAAATGGACAGTAATCTTAAAGGGGAGGTGTACAAGCAGCTGGGGAAACTAGAAGAAGTAGTTAAAGAAGATAAAAGTTGAGCTGAATCTTGAAAGTGGAGGTAAAAAGGAAGAACATTCAAAGCATGGGTGATGGCCAATGCCAAGGAATAGATTTGATGGATAGAGTGTTGTACATGAAAAATTGAAAAATAGACCAATACATCTTGATCAGGGAGTAAGTGGAGGGGGAATGAAGTGCAAGACTAGAAAGGTAAGAAAGGGGCAGGTAAAAGTTTTAAATGCCAAACAGAAGGTTTTATATTTGATTCTAGATGTTATAAGAAACCACTGACATTTTTTGGGTTGGGCTGGTGAGAGTGACCAAACCTCTGCTTTAGGAAACTTACTTTCCACAGGCTTAGCCAGATAGAGAATGGATTGCAATGGAAAGAGATGTAAAGCAGGGAGACCAGTTAGAAGGTATTGAGGTAGTCCAGGTGAGAGGTCATGAGGGCCCATACAAGGGTGATAGAAATACGAGTGGAGAGGAGGGGAAATGTATGAGTTGTTGTAAAGATAGAAATGACAAGACTTGACCACAAGTTGGATATATGTGGTGAGGGTGAACAAGGAATCGAAACTGAGGTTGTAAGTCTGGGTAGCTGAGATGATGGTGCTCTTGACGGTAATGGGAAATGTTAGGAAGAGGGGAGGTTTGGGGGGACAGGAAGAGCAATAATGAGCTCTGTTGTGGACATGTTGAGCTTGAGATGAGAGGTCTGGGGACCTCTACCTCTAGATGTGCAAAAGGCAGTTGGTAATGTTAGACTGGAGCTCAGAAGAGAAATTAAGGCTGGATCTATGGATCCAGGAATCATCTGCCTAGAGATAATTGAACCCACAGTGATGAGATCACTAATCAAGATAGTATAGAGAGAAAAGAGAAGATGACCAAGGATGAGACCTTGGGAGACACTCGTGGTTAATAGGCATAACCTGGATAAAGACGGATCAAAGAAAATTAAGAAGGAGCTGCCAGACAGGTAGGCATATCAGGAGAGAGCAGTGCCTTGAAAACCTCAGGAGGAGAAAGTATTGGGGAGGAGATGGTGATCAACAGTGTCAAAGACTTCAGAAAGATCAAGAAGGATCAGACTTGGGAAAAAATTAGATTTAGCAATTAGGAGATCCACTGGTAACTTTGGGGAGAGCAATTTCAGTTGGATAATGAAGTGGAAAGTTAAGACTGCGGAAGGTTTAGAAGTGAGTGAAAGAAGAGAACGTGGAATCACGTATTATGGATGGTTTTCTCAAAGAAGTTAGCTAGAAGAGGAAAGATATGCAATGGTAGCTTACAGGAATGAGTGGATCCCTTCTTCTGCCTCCAAAAAAATTAATTCAACTCAACAAATACATATTACCTACCTTCTTACTCTGTGCCAGCTCAGATAAAAGGTTGCAATGAATGTGATGGCCACGATATTTGCATAGCCTTTTCAGATCCCAGAGTTGGGGATGCTTAGCAAACATTATCCCATGTATCAGTAATGGTAGAAACTTTGTTCTGAATGAAGATCATTGTTTAAACTATGCCATCTTGCCATATAAGGTGATTTTGTTTCATTATCAGCAGTCTTATGCTAAGTTCTGGGGATACAAAGAAAGGCTAAAAATGGTCCTTGCTCTCAGGAATCTCACATCTTAATGGGAGAGGTAACATGCAAGCAATGATGTACAAATGATGTATACACAAGATAAATAGGAGATGATGAACAGAGAGAAGTCATTAGTATTTAAGGGGAATCAGGGAGGGCTTCTTGCAGATGGTAGGACTTTGGGTGGGACCTTATGGAAGGCAGAAGGTAGAGCTGAGGAAGAAGAGAGTTCCAGTGACAGGGGACAGCAGATTTTCATCTTGGTCTTCCTTATGACTAAATATGCATTAATGATATTCCTGGTTGGAGAGGAGAAGTTCAAACTAGATATAAAGTAAATCATCGTTAAGTCTGAAGTAAAATGATTCATATAGAGAAGCCAAGTCCTTTTTTTTTTTGTACAGAAGCAACTGAGCTTCACTTTTACTTAAAACCACACATTTGATAAGGATACATGTACATACCATCATACTTGGGTTCAAAAAATCATCTTCACAGATAAAAGGTGGGTGTGGCATGGTTAGGTAACATTTTATTTTTAAAGAGCTGGGGTTGGGTCAGCTTGGTGGCACGGTGCATAGAGCACTGGCCCTGGAGTCAGGAGGACCTGAGTTCAAATCCAGCCTCAGACACTTACTAGCTGTTTGACCCTGGGCAAGTCACTTAACTCAAAAAAAAAATTGGGGAGGTTTTGGTGGTCTGCAAGCTCAGTATGAGAAAGCCATATGAGGTGGTAGCCAAAAAAAACCCTAATGTGATTAGGACTAATGCATCTAGGACTTGGGAGGTATTGTACTCTGTACTCTGCTGTGGTCAGACCCTTACCTAAAGTATTATTTTCAGATCTGGGTACCACAGTTTAGGAAGGATGGATGAACTAGAGAGAGTCCAAAGAGGACTATCTAGAATCATAAAGGGCTTCAAGTCTGTACTATATAAGACCTGTGAATGTTTAGCATAAAGAAAAGACTCAGAGGATGTGATAACTGTGTCCAGCTGGACGTTTGAAGACTTTCTTTCATGGGGAAGGGATAGACCCATTCTTTTCTGGCCCCAGAAGACAGAAGTAGGATCAATGGATGGAAGTTGCAGAGAGACAAATTTAGGCTTGATGTCAGAGAAAATCATCTATTAAAGTTGTCCAAAAACAGAATAGGCTGCTTTACATGGTAATAGGTCCCCCACCCTTGCCAATAGGAGGTCTTCAGGTAGAGACTAGATGGACACTTGGATGTTCTTAATGGAGATTCATTTTTAGATAATGAGTTGGGGACTAGAAGGTGACTGGGATCCCTTCCAACCCTAAAATATGTTTTTCTGTATGTGAGATGCAGAATGGTGTAGTCCTTCCTTGGTGTCAGGAAAGACTGTTTTTATACATTCTAACTTGGTGACCAAGTCACTCCTCCTTTAGGTACCCCGGGCAACTTTCTAAGATGTAGGCTGCCGCTGAGCTTTTCTGAGTGCTGCTTAGTGGAAAATCACAGGTCAAGAGAAAGAAAATTAGGAAACTAGAACCAAGTCTGAAGGGCGGGTGAAAGTCATGAGGTATGAAACTAGAAATGTGATCTTAAAAAAAGTTACCTCTCCCAGAACAACGGAAAACGTTCTGGATCGGCAGTCAGAGGACCTGTGTTCAAATCCCAGCACCTGGGCACTTCGGTTCTGTGGCTTCAGTTTTCTCATCTGTAAATTTAGAAGGTTGGACTATCTAGGGTTCTTAAAATAGGGCCAATGAACTTGTGTGTGTGTGTGTGTGTGTGTGTTGTGTGTGTGTGTGTGTGTGTGTGAACGAACTGTATTTCATTCCTTTGTAATCCTATGTATTTTGTTTTATGCATTTATAAACATTATTCTAAGAAGAGATTCATAAGCTTCACTAGACTGCCAGCAGAGTCTATGACACAAAACAGGTAAAGAACCCTGAACTGAATTATCTAATTCTAAGGACATTTTCAGCTCCACATCTAGGATCCTGTGACTCCTCTGGGCCTCAGTTTCCTAGTCTATAAAGTAAAAGAGGTGAATGAGATGATTTCTGCTCTGACTTTCCTATGATCCTATAACGCTATGACTGAATCAGTCTAAGGAGTGCCCATCTTTTATCTTCTGCAGACACTACAGAATGAAATTGTGGGCCACGCGCCCCGGATAGAGGATGTGTTACATCGAGGGCATGAGCTGGTGGAGGTGGCTGAGATAGATTGCCAAGACATTGCAGAGCGCCTGGGGCATCTGCAGGGCTCGTGGAAATTGCTCCAAGATGAGACCGCTCAGCGGTTGCGGAGGCTACGGGAGGCCAATGAGGCTCAGCAGTACTACTTGGATGCTGGAGAGGCAGAGGCCTGGATCAGTGAACAGGAACTTTATGTGATCTCTGACGAGACTCCCAAGGTCAGTCATTGTGTGGCTTGGGAGACAGTGAGGTCAAGGGAGCCAGCTGGGTTCCCCACAGGATGGGAGGAGGCAGCCAGCTCCTACTCTGTCTAGTTCAGATGTCCTTGGCCAAAGAAGTATCCATACCCATAAAGACGGAGCAAAGCTAAGAAACAAGAGGGTTAAAGTCTGTCAAGCTTTAGAAGTATGTGGTGAGTGTAGGTGAGGGGGACTTATTTTGTGGGGTCAGAGCCTAAGGGTTCAAAGGTAGAATAGGAAATCTCACGTGTTCTACTTTGGGACACCCTTCTCAGAGAAGAGACTCTAAATTCAGTATAAATGTGCCACTCATTTGTCCGTAGACCCAACTCTTTTTGAATTTGGCATTGCCTGATTTTCCTATCCCCTTATTCCCTTCTACAGCTTTTTTGTTCCTCCATCCCCTACTCTTTGATAATTTCCTATGCTTTAGTTAGATGGCAAGTGATTACTGATTGCCTATTCTGCATTTAGCGCTGGCCTAAATACCATGGATAATAGAGACAAAATATAAAATATAGTCCTCCAAGGGTCTTATGTTACTTCTGAGGAACCAATACATTAGTATTAGTATATAAATATTGTATATACTATGCTAATTAATACTAATATACTAATATAACATATAATATATACATTAATAAAATTATGTACTATTTTTCCATGTGAAACAATAAACACCCTGATAGTACAAAATTAATTGCTAAAATGTGTGGTACAGATTATAAATTCCATAGGAATCCAGATTTGAAGTCAGTCTTTGAGGGCTAGGTATACTGCAAGGCAGTGTAATACAAGGGAAAGACCACTGACTCTGGATACCGAGGACCTGAATTTGAATCTTGCCTCTGACGCTAGCTACACATGTGATTTTGGATGACTTAACCTCCCTGGGCCTAATTTTCCATATCTGTAAAATGAGAGGGTTGGAAAGGATGATCTCTGAGGCCCCTTCCAGTTCTAGAGCTACGATCATAAGTGAAGACTTCATGGAGGACATGAGACCCCGGTAGGATTTAGAAAGGCAGAGAAGAAAAAAGAAAGGCATTCCAGGTAAGAGAAATAGCATGAGCGAAAGGTGTGAAGGCAGGAATTACCATGGCACATCTCTGGGATGATGATGACACCAGAGCAGGTGGGCATGTTGGGAATTAATAGGAAAATAGTGTAGAATGCATCCAGAGGGTTTTAGTCAGCTCTCTTCTCCAAATTAGTGTGAGGTGCACCACACTTATAAAGATCTGGGTGCAATGGAAGGAACTCTTAACAGGATTAGACTCTGGCAAGAAATCACATTGCTGGAGAGAGCCATGATGGTCTTCATTCTGTGTGTGTGTGTGCGCGCGCGTGTGCATGTGTGCACTTGTGGTGGTGGGGTAAAATCTAGAGTGCTGAATTTGCTTGCATTCTTGGGGACCTCCAGCAGTTGTCCTGTAGTTTCTTCCATTGTGGGAGCTTCAGGAAGGGACGGCAAAGAATGAGCTAAGCTGGAGCATGATGGCACTTCTGTTTCCATCCAGGATGAAGAGAGCGCCATCGTGATGCTAAAGCGACATCTGCGGCAGCAGCGCTCAGTTGAGGAGTATGGGAAGAATATCAAGCAGCTGGCTGGCCGGGCTCAGAAACTCCTGTCTGCTGGTCACCCTGAGGGGTGGGTAACAGTGGGGCTTATTCTTCTGTTTAGGGCACACCTGACAGGTTTTTTTTGGTGTTTAGGGAAGAAGGACCTGGCTACAAATCTTGGTGGGAAAAATGTTTTTGATTTCCACCAAAAATGGGGGTTTGAGGTAACTTTTGTTCTATTGAATGTCTTGATTTAATCTCATTATTTAGCTTTGGTTTTAGTAACTCCAACTTCTAGTAAACTAGTTCCCAAACTAGGAATGGGTTAGACAGCTAGGTGGTGCAGTGGATAGAGCATTGGACCTGGTATCAGGAAGAACTGAGTTCGAACCTCAGATACTGCTCGGGTGACCACAGGCAGCAAATCATTTAACCTTGCCTGTCTCAGATTCCTCATCTGCAAAAGGGGAATAATAATAACACTTACCTTCCAGGGTTGTTGGAAGGATCAAATGAGATAATATCTATAAAGTACTTTGCAAATCTTAAAGTGCTATGTAAATGCTAGTTATTATTAGTCTAGTTAAATGAATACTTACCCTAAGTATTCAGTATTTCAAGGATCTGTTATTTCATTGGTGCGCATTCTTTGTGCAACAGATTGCGGCTCCATTGTGATTTCGTAGACAAACTTTGAGAATTGATTTTTATGCTTGAAAAATCAAGCACGATAGTTAAATCAGATTTTGATTTGTAATCTGTAATTAAATAGGTGAAGAGTCCATATTTATTGAAGTTGGGTGTTAGATGACAGACTGGGCAATCACTTGGCTCATGTTCAGAGTTTTTCCAGACCGTTAGTTATTACCAGATCTTGTGCTCAAGTGGTATGGCCTTCTAGAACCTAGGCTCACCTTTGTACCATGATAAGGCAACAAAGGAGGACTTTACTGGAGGAGTTAATTGTATATTTTGGTTAACAGAGTTTTCATATACACCAAATATATATGTATATTACCCATTTTCAGAGAGCTAGAATATAATAAAATATACTTAGCATTAGACTGTACTAAATCTAACTTAACTTATTCTTGATGACCCAGCAAGTCCTTCAGATGTCTCAGAATTATTATTATGAATGTCAATGTATAATATTATAGGAAAAAATCCTGTTATTTGAGCTTTCTAGTTTAAATTCTGGAGGAGGGTGAAGATGATACCCAACATTTATATCTATATAATGCTTTGAGGTTTGCAGAGTGCTTTACAAAAATGTCTCTTTTGTTCCTCACAACAATTCTGGGAGGGAGGGAGGTGCTATTATTATTCCTATTTTATAAATCAGGAAGCTGAGGCAGACAGCAGTTAAGTGACTTACAGCACTAAGTGTCTGAGGTAGGATGTGAATTCAGGTCTTCCTGACTTCAGGTCCAGTAGTCTATCTACTATGCTACCAAGAAGTATATTCTGTTTTATTTTATACCATTTAACTTTGGTGCAGAAATCACAACTTTCCAGCCATGGCCTTGCCAGCTACTAAGATGAAATATACGAAGCTCACACCAGCCACTATAAAAATTGTCCTTGTAATTCCAGGAACATGGTCCAGTGTCCTATGCTGTTCTTCTGTGAACACCAAGGAAGGACCTCTTTGCCTCCACAGTGTACTCTACACTTGCCTTCAGTGCTCAGGACTCAAGCTTTTTCCCCAGTGTCTAAAGGCCAGCATGCTAGACAGAGTGTTGGACTTGATGTCAGATATATTTTATTTAATTTATTAAATTTTATTTTTAATAAACAAGTATTTATTTTCTCTCCTTTCCACTCTTATACTTCCCATTCAGCAACAACAAAAGAAAATGAAAAGCCTCATAACAAATATGTATAAATATATATATAAATATATATATATATATATATATGTATGTATATATATATATGTATAATCAAGCAGAACAAATTCTTATTCTTGCATTGGCCATGTCCAAAAATGTATGTTTGATTCTGTAACTTGAGTCCACCAACTCTGTATCAGGAGGTGGGTACCATGGTTCATCTTTGGCTCTCTGGAGTAATGGTTTGTCATTGCCTTGACTGGAGTCTTTCAAAGTTATTTTTCCTTATAATGTTGTGATTATTTAAATTGTTCTCCTGGCTTTGCTCGCTTCATTCTGCATCATTTTATAGGCAGTTCATAGATTTTCCCAGTTTTCTCTGAGGCTATTTCATTATTTCTTATTAATAATTATATATATATATATGATATTCTGTTACATTCCATAATATAATTTGTTTTGCCGTTCCCCAATAGATGAGCACACTCTTGGTTTCTCATTTTTTAAAGCTAATTTTCAAAAAGCTATAAATATTTTTATACATATAGATCCTTTTCTTCTTTCTTTGATCTCTTTGGAGCATAGACCTAGTAGTGGTATCTCTGGATGGAAAGGTGTGCAAGGTTTAATCACTTAGTTCCAGTTTGCTTTGAACTCATATAGACTTGGGTTCAAATCTTGCCCAGTTTACTAGCTGCGTGATAGTAGTCAAATCACTTGACTACTACATTTTAAGGGCCCGTGTAAGACTCAAAGGAGACAATGTGCCTTGTAAACCTTTAAGTGCTATGTAGGTGATGCCAATCAGTGTTCCTCCCTGGTAATGGGCTGATGATGTGTTGGGCATTGGTGAAGGATAAAAACTGTTTTATCAACCTGCTTGCAAAGATAATGAGTAAGTTCATTCTTCACAATGAATTCTGATTGGCCTAAACTAAGGAGATGGTTGGTAAGGAATCTGGTCATCAAAACTCATTGCAAGGGGAAGGTATGTGGCACAGTGGGTAGAGCACCAGCCCTGAAGTCAGGAGAACCTGAGTTCAGATCCGGCCTCAGACCAAACACTTGACACTTATTAGCTGTGTGACCCTGGGCAAGTTGCTTAACCCCAATTGCCTGAAAATAAAACAAAACACAACAAAACACAAAAAACCCCCAACTCCTTGCAATGCCTAAAGACCCAGTAAAAAGAGTGGCACATGGTAAGGATCTTTCTTCTGAGACAGAAGGAAACTTGCACAGTTTTATTTAGGGACTCAGAATTTCATCTCCAGCATCTGCTAAAAGGGACTTTCTTGTTGCCTTTAAGCATCCAGTGGAAGGCATCTTGGAGTGGGAGACAGAGTACCTAAACCCTCTACCATAGACCTGTCCATGGTGCCTCAGGAAACATAGGAGTCTTCTCATGTTTCAGTTTCCCCATTAGTCACATGGGGGTGAACAGTGGAGGAGAAAGATAAACTAAGGGTTGCAAAATATCTCAGCATCCTTTGGAATTCTTTCTCATTGATACCTCTAATGTGTTTGATGCCCGAGATCACTCCTAATCTTGAAACTGTGGTGGGTTTTTTTTTAACTTTAGTTGGTATTTGTTTGTTTGTCTTTTTAATCCTAGGGAACAGATTATCCGACTTCAGGGGCAGGTGGACAAACAATACGCTGGGCTGAAAGATATGGCCGAGGAACGGAAGCGCAAGCTAGAAAACATGTATCATTTGTTCCAGCTGAAGAGAGAGGCAGATGACTTGGAACAGTGGATTGCAGAAAGGGAGGTGGTGGCCTCTTCCCAAGAAATGGGGCAAGATTTTGACCACGTTACTGTGAGTTTCACGTTGAGAACACTCCTTTTTATTTTTGTTTTTTTTAACATTTTTGAAAAGGAAAACACATGAGTCATTATTTTTAGGTGTATAACAATAGTGATCTGCATGTTTCCCCTCCCTATTTTCAGTTTTTGTAAAGCACTGAAAATTAATCTGTCATCTACTTCTATTAAGCAGCAGAGTGTAGCCACAACAGAGTTTGAAGTGTGATAATGTTTCCAGGGGGTAATCCTCTTGGATTTCAATTTTTTTCCTTGAAAAAGTTGTGATGATAATACATCCATAGATAGCTGTAGTCTAGTAGAGTCCGTGACGAGAGTGTGAGAGTGTCATGCCACACACACCCCCAACAGCCCAAGAGTCTAATAACCACCTTTCTGTTTACCTGTTTTCTTTTCCAATTCCAGTTGCTGCGGGACAAGTTTCGTGACTTTGCTCGGGAGACTGGGGCAATTGGGCAGGAGCGGGTGGACAATGTTAACTTGATAATTGAGCGGCTGATTGATGCTGGCCACGCTGAGGCCGCCACCATTGCTGAGTGGAAGGATGGGCTGAATGAGATCTGGGCTGACCTACTAGAGCTCATAGACACCCGAATGCAGCTGCTAGCTGCCTCCTATGACCTGCACCGATACTTCTATTTGGGAGAAGAGATCCTGGGCCTTATTGATGAGAAACATCGGGAGTTGCCTGAAGATGTGGGACTTGATGCCAGTACTGCCGAATCCTTCCACCGTGTTCATACGGCATTTGAGCGAGAATTACATCTCTTAGGAGTACAGGTACCATTCTACTCATCTGTCTACCCCCATGTAATTCTTTATGTGGAGAGCCAGGAAACCTGCCTTCTGTCTCTATGTGCACAGACTATCTTTGATTTCTTTCTGGCTCTTTACAAGTCATTACCCTCTGTCCCCACATTCTCATCTGTAAAATGGGTATTTGAGGACTTCAGAGAGTTGGTGTGAAAGTCACTGAAGTTATGTCTACGGTGGGCCTGGGAAAGACGGTGATAGAGAAACATTTTTGTTACTTTCATTATATCCTAATCCAGAAGGACATGGTCTAAAAATGGAGCATAAGGCTTTCTGGTTGGAGCAGGGAGTGATGAGTCAGAATGTTTAGGTCTTGCTCTAGGGAGATATTGTAGTGCTTTTTGGTAGATTGGTATCTTAATCAACTCAGTCACTCTTTCCCACTGGTGCAGACTGTAGCTCCTATGCGTTCTTTATTCATTCATTAAGTGCCTACTACATGTATATGATGGGCCTTGGTCTAGGCACTGGGAACACAAAGACAAAAATCAAACAATTCTTACCCTCAGGGGGCTTCCATTCTACTGGGCAAGCAGCATGTACATGACAAAATAAATACAAAATAATTTCTTGGGGAGGGCCCTAGCAACTAAGGAGATTAGGATAGGCTACATGAGACACTTGAACTGAGCCTTGAATCCTAGGAAGCTGGTGATTCTACAAGGTGGAAGGAAAGCATTCCAGGCGTCGGAGGCAGCCTAGTGCAGAGGCGTGGGGGACAGGAAATAGAATCCCATAAATAGGAAACAGCAGGATGTCGGTCTGAAATGTAGAATCTCCTCATCCTGTGTGATTTTGCTCTACATTTTTCCCGTAATTCTCCACCCAACTTGCTGAAAGCCACCTTTTTTTTTCTTCTTTTAAATATGTCAGCACTTGGATTAGCCATTTGTCATCTCTACATGAGTGACTTAGCTCCTTTTCCAGTCACATATGTCTTCAATGATGTCTTCTGGTTTTATTTATAATAAGAATGTCTCTATGAACATGGTTTGGTTTCTTAGGTTCTGTGGTGGGGAACCTGGGGCCTCGAGGCCACATGTAGTCCTCTAGGTCCTCAAGTGTGGCCCTTTGACTGAATCCAAACTTCACAGAACAAATCCCTTTAATAAAAGGATTTGTTCTGTAAACCTTGGACTCAGTCAAAAGGCCATACCCAAGGACCTAGAAGGCCACAGCCTTGAGGTTGCAATTCCCCAACCCTAAATCTGATAGCACATGCTAATGATGTCAACAAGCAGGTTTTCTGCTACACGAAAGATGCATTGTGGTGTAATTAAAAGATATGTAGATCTGAAATGAGAAGACTTGGGTTCAAATCCTAGGTCGCTGTTTCTTGCTAGCTATGTGACCGTAGATAAATCATTTGACATCTGTGAGCCTGGGTCTCCTTGTCTATAAAATGAGGAAATTCATCTAGATGATCTGAAAGTTCTCCTCCAGATCTCAATCCCATTGGCTTATAAATGGGCTTCAGAAAATGGAATAATGAGCTGGATTATGGTTTCTTAAATTTTGGGTTGCTCAATCAGTTTAGATAACCCAAAACAGATAGCTGTTTTCTGGTTGTAGTTGTAGCTTAATGTCCAGCCAGATGCTGTTCCACATATGAGTAGCAGCTCTTTCTTTGGCCAAGAAACACAAAAGCTCACAAAATGGAAAATGAATACAGAGAAAGTGGGCATAGGAGATGAACATTTGCCAGGACCTTAGACATCAGTGCAGTTCCCTTGAGGTCTCACAATAAGGGTCCTGCATAAGAATGCGATTTCATTTTACTGGTAAGCGGCCTTAAATAAAGACGTCTTCTCATGACATCTTTCATCTAAGAAGCCCAAAAGTAGAGCCCTGAAAGGGGGACAGTAATACATTTTCTTCCCCATTTTGTAGACAGGGAGGAAGGTGCCAAGGGACAGAGGAGCTTTGTCCCACGTTGCCTGACAAGTCAATGGTAGGGCAGGGAGGGTAGTACTGACTTCCTTTCTTCAGAGTTACTGTTTGTGCTCTGAAACAATGTTCTCTGAATTTTTTTTTATCAAGTCCCCCTTTAAAAAAGAAATTTTGAGCATGTACCTCCAACATGTATATTTAATTGTTTATAAATTTTATATGGACTTTTAGCTAATAATCATCTAGGAGGCAGCTAGTGTCCCAATGGGTAGAGTGCTGGGCCCGGAGACAGGAAGACCTAAGTTTAAATCCAGCCTCAGATAGCTGTGTGATTCTAGGCAAGTCACTTAACTTCCGATTGCCTTAAGTTTTCTCAGCTGTGAAATGGAGATTATAAGAGCACCTACCTTGCAGGGTTGTTGTAAAGATCAAATGAGATCATATTTGAAAAAAGTGCTTAGCATAGTACCTGGGACATAGTAGGTGCAATATAAATGCTTATTCATTTTCCAATCCATGTGTATTATAAAGCTTACATAAAAGCAGACATTTAAAAGGGATAAAATAAATACTTGATCCTAGAATCAATAGGGAGGCATAGCACTTGGTTGAGTAGAGGGGTGATGTTGTCAGACATGTGCTTTAGAAAAGCTACTTGAGGGGCAGCTGGGTGGTGCAGTGGATAGGGCTCTGGCCTTGGAGTCAGGAGGACCTGAGTTCAAATCCAGCCTCAGATACTTGATACTTACTAACTGTGTGACCATGGACAAGTCACTTAACTCTGATTGCCTCACCAAAAAAAAAGCAAAAAGAAAGAAAGAAAAGCTACTTGAATAGTTTTGTGACATATGGATTGGATAGAAGATTTACAGCAAAGAAACAATTTGGGGTCATCTGTATGAAGGTGATAATTAAAGCCACATGAGCTGATGAAATCACCAAATGAGAGAGAGTATACAGAGGGAAGGAAGGGGGACCCGGACAGAGCCTCGGGGTACACTCACAATTAGGGTATACAATATAGATGAAGACCATGGAGGGGTTGGGAGAGGATGCTATGGATGAAGTAGTGTGAGAAGGGGTTGGACCAGTAGAGAGAGAGAGAGAGAGAGTAGTGGAGAGGGTGCAGTAGAGAGATAAAGAAGGATGAGGATTGAGAAAGGGCCTTCAGATTTGGTAGCTTTGAAGAAGGCAGTTTCGGTTAAGTTGAGGAATCAAGGATAACTAAAAGGTTGAGAAGCTGGGAGACTGGAAGGATGGTTCCTTTGATTGAAAAGAGAATCAAGGGACAGCTAGATGGAACAGTGGATAGAGCATCAGCCCTGGAGGCAGGAGGATCTGAATTCAAATACATCCTCAGACACTTAATAGCTGTGCAACCCGGGGCAAAGTCACTTAACTCCAATTGCCAGAGAGAAAGAGAGAGAGGTTAAGCAGATAGGGCACTAGACTTGAAGTCAGTAAAACTTGGGTTCAAATCCTGTTTCAGAAATTAACCATCTCTGTGACCCTGGGCTCAATTCCTTCATTTGTAAAATGAGGAAGTTCAATGGTCTTTACTCTTCCAGTTCTAAATCCATGTTTCTATGAAACAGGGAAATTCAGAAAAGGGTGAGTTTGGGGACAAAGATAATGTAATTATGGTATACCCATGCCTGTTCATCGTGTTCCACTCTTCCTAAATGAAAAATGAAAAGGGTGGGGGGAGATGGAATGGGGCTTACTCACTGCCTCCTGCCCTGGAGCACAGGGCATGAAGCTCTGGTGATGGGAGACCATGGGTGAGGATGCTACGGAGGAATTTTGTCTGCTTACCTGCTGTGAGTAGGTCTAGGTTATCACTTCCTCAAGGGGACCCATATCGGGGGCAGCCACAAGGAGGCCAGCAATGAGAAGGGGAAAAATCTTGAAGAAGGCAAGGTAATTGTGTTAGAGACAAGCCAACAATTAGCTGGGGAGGGGTAAGAGGATGAGATACAGCCCATCCTTCCACCCTCTGATTGAAGTCATTCCATGTCCCTGACTTCACCATCACCATCCCATGTAGGAGACCAGAATCCTTGTCTTTCCCAAGCTCTTAATCTCTCTGTCATCCAGAACAATGGCACACTTTGAATGAGGCAGTGTGAAATGGTGGCTAGAGTAGGGGACTTTGAATCAGGAATATGTCGATCCAAATCCTACTTCTGACATTTACCAGCTGTGTGACCATGGGTCAATCACTCAACTGCTCTGAACCTCTGTTTCCCAATATGTAAAATAGCTATAATAATATCTATAGTACCTACCTCATGGGGTTGTTGTGAGATTGGAATGGGATTGTGTACATATAAAGCACTCTGTAAACTGTTAAGCACCATAGGCATGCAATTTATCATCTTGTGATGGCGATGATGACTACAGGTGCAGCAGTTCCAGGATGTGGCCACGCGCCTGCAGACAGCCTATGCTGGAGAGAAGGCTGATGAGATCCAGAGCAAAGAGCAGGAGGTGTCCACGGCATGGCAAGCTCTGTTAGACGCCTGTGCAGGGCGCCGGGCCCAGCTGGTGGACACGGCAGACAAGTTCCGCTTCTTCAGCATGGTCCGGGACCTCCTGTCTTGGATGGAAAGCATCATCCGACAGATAGAAACCCAGGAGAAGCCCAGGTATGGCAGCAAAGGGCAGGGACCTGTCTTCTCCTTCGGTGGCTACTTTCCCCCACCAGATGGGGCTCACGGACTTAGGCACAGACTCTGACAGTTGTTCTCTGGAGAAGGAAAAAAGGGTGGAGCAGAGGCCCTTTTGGGGCCAGAGCCAGCGTGGCTTGGTGTTGCTGTAATGACGCAGCACCTTTGGGGTTCAGCGAGGGAGCAGAGATGTCTTGATCAGTGTGGGGCCTGGAAAAGCCAAGGTCCTGCCCAGGCTTGGACTGAGGCTGAAAGTGACTTTTCTCTCTTCCATTTATGTCCTGGACACTTGTGCCAGCTTGTATAAGGCATTATTAGTAAGAATCATAGTTTCAGTGTTCTAAGAGTGCTAAGCTTCCTTGGCAGTAAAGGACCTTGAGCGCCTCATGGTTGGACGATACATAAGCTCAGATGTTCCCTACTATCTATTCCCCAACATTGTATCATTGCTAAAAACATCCCTCCCCATGCTGAGAGAGAAGAATTGCATTCTTTCTACTTAGGAGTAAATAAGCCACAACTGGGAGTCCCAGTGGAACAGCTGGTGTTACAAAGTTCTCAACATCTTGGATTCCAATTTGTTTAAAGCCACTCATTTGTTTAGTGCCTACTGTGTACAAGCTCTGTGCCTGTTGTTGTCCCTCAGAGTCACTTTTCCTCCATTTCACCTGTACTGCCCCCCCAGAGACTGGAACTTCTCCCTCAGGACCCACAATGTTCCAGATGGCTAATTTCAATTTGGGGGTCCTAGCACCCCACAGAGGCAGCCAGTCAGTCTTTTTTTCTGCCCAAGCCCCTGGCCTTGGGAATCCCCAAGTCTGCCTCAGTCCTTCAGATTCCCTGTCTGCACCTGGCTTCCTAGAGGACTCCTAGGAGAGTTAATCACTGGACTGTTTGAGAGGTTGGTGTGGTCTGAGCCATTAGAGTAACACAGTAGGCGTCCTGGATGCCAAGGACATTGTAGTTTGGGAATTTCTTTTTTGTTGTTTTGTTTTATTCCCTTTTTTGCTAGGCTATGGGGTTAAGTGACTTGCCCAGGGTCGCACAGCTAGGAAGTGTCAAGTGTCTGAGGCTGGATTTGAACTCAGGTCTTCCTGACTTCAGTGCGCCACCTAGCTGCCCCCTAGTTTGGGAATTTCTGAGTAACGTTTCTGAAGAACAAGGGCCTAACAATGAGTGTGCAGCTTTAAGGCTCTTTCCTCCTTCAGGAGCCTGAGAATTATCCAGGGAGGAAATTTCCCTTTTGGCTTTAGCCTCCGGGTCCAGTCTTTTGGCTGAAATCCCTTGCCATCGTCCTTTTCACCTGCCTCTCTTATCAGGGATGTGTCTTCCGTGGAACTGCTCATGAAGTACCATCAAGGCATCAAGGCAGAAATTGAAACCCGGAGCAAAAATTTCAGCACGTGCCTTGAGCTAGGAGAATCGTTGCTTCAACGACAGCACCAGGCTTCTGAAGAGGTAAGAAAGGGGAGAGTCCAGAATAAGGGCCAGGGTTCCTCCAGGGAGAGAAAACTGGGGACCACTTGGGTTCAGATACCATGCCTTCTTCCAGTAATGTCTTCCATTATCTTCATCTATCTGCCCATCCATTCATTCATTCAATAAATATTTCTTAAGTACCTACTATATGTTAGGCTCTACATAAGATACAGTTGTTCAAGGCTTAGTCTTTATCTTTGAAGAGCATAAAATATGTACATGTAGAGCTTATAAACGGTTGACATGTGGGGTAACACTCTGAGCTCTGGACTAGAACCCCAAATCTCCTTACTGTCATTGCAGATCAAGGAGAAACTGAATCAGGTGATGTCAAGAAGGCAGGAGATGATGGAGAAATGGGACAACCGCTCAGAACGGCTACGTCTATGTGAGTGCAGCCTTGGGGCCAATGAACTTGGCCAGGCTGGGGGCGTCTTGTGGATGAAGGGAAGAGGGGAGGAGCATAAAGCTCCTCAGTTTTATGATCAGCCCAGTCTAGGGAAGAACTATCTACAACCCATTCATTCCCTACCTCCACCCCCGCTGTAGACAGGGGTTCTTAACCAAGAAGGCCCAGCCTCAGGCTTGTACCTGGGCTTCCTCCCTTTTGTGTACGTGATCAAGGATCTTAAGGCTGGCTGGGAAGAAGCCCTAGCCGTGTGGGACTTTGAGAATAAAAATGCTAGATGGTTACATGGACATTAGTGAGAAGACTGACATACCAGGTGGCTGCTGAAATCTGCGCTATGGAACAAGTCAAGTCAATAAGCATTTATTAAGCACTTACTAAGTGCCAGGCAGAGTGATAAGTGATCAGGACTCAAAGAAAGGCAAAAGAATAATTCCTGCCCTCAAGGAGCTGCCATGCCTAAACTACCCGTCCCACAAACCATAATCTCTCTTGCTGAGCTGCCTAGGAGTCTCCTGGCCAAGGGACAGAGCTAACCTGTTGAGGTCTTCTGTGTGTGTGGGTCTGTGACTTGTTCTTTGTGACAGTGTTGGAAGTGTGTCAGTTCTCTCGGGATGCTTCTGTGGCCGAAGCATGGCTGATTGCCCAGGAGCCTTACTTGGCCAGCAGGGACTTTGGACATACGGTGGACAGTGTGGAGAAACTTATCAAGAGACATGAAGCCTTTGAGAAGTCCACAGCCACCTGGGCTGAGCGATTTGCTGCCCTGGAGAAACCCACCACGGTGAGCTATGGGGCACCCGAGTGTTGGGGCCAAGGTGGGAAAAGCTAGAGTGAGGAGACAACCAATGAGTCCTGAAATTGCTAGGAAGGCAAAGAGTGGGGTAAGGGAGGGGCTTCAGAGGGAGTTGAGTTAAGCCACTTATTAAGTGCAGAGCTCTGTAAATGAAGAGAGTGATGGAAAGGAGACTAAAAAAAAATAGAAGATGCTGTTCTCTATCATCGAGTTGTTTACAATTCTACAGAAACGAGACACACACATGTGAAAAAGACCTAAGAATGTTTCATTAAATGATTCATTATTAAGCTTGATAATCGTGTGTCAGCATGATAATATTTTCAAAGGCTCGTAAATAAATGCAAGGGAATAGGGTTGGGAGCTTGTGTGTAAGTGAAATGACCGCTGGATTTAATCAAGAGCCCTAGGTTCAAACCCCAGATCTGTGATTTACCACCTTTGTGATCCTGGGCAAGTCATTTTACTTCTGTCTTACTTCCTTCATTTGTAAATTGAGGCGGGTGGGCTACATGACTTGTAGCTCCATTATCTATTATACTCAAGCAGGAAGGTAGTTTGGTAACTGTGGCATCAGTAGATTTAGAGCCTATGAACCCAAGTAGCTGCAGCGTGATCGGTCTGGCGAGAGGAGGTATAATTGAGGAAAGGCTCCTCTAGCGGCATAACAGAGAAACTAGCTCACTGATAGCATTCTCTCCCTGTCCTCATGTTTACTCTGTCTTTCCTGACCCAGTGTTTTCTTTCTCTAGCTTGAGCTGAAAGAACGCCAGACTCCAGAGAAACCCACAGAGGACAGTGGGTAAGTACCATAAGAACAGAGCTTGGTTGAGTCTCTAGACAAGCAAGTTTTAAATACTGAGTATGGTAGGGAACTAGAGCTAGAGAACACAGTAGAAAAGAGGAATTTTCCCCTCAGGGGTAGCATCCTTAGAGCCTCCTGAGGCGATGACAGATATGCATCTTGATCTTCAATTTGTGGGTATATTTATATTGAAAAAGAAATTCCTGAGAAGTCCTGGGTCTGGAGGCTTTGTAAATTATTAATGGAAGACAAAGGGAGAGCTCTTCTGAATCGTGTGGGACCTAAAACTGGAAAGGTAAATCTGAAATAAAGAGAATTAAGTTTTATTGCTCTGGATCACCGCCACTGGGGCAAAGCTCACTCCTCATTCTTCCAGGAGCCACGTGTAATGTTCACATGGCTGCTTTGCATGGGAGACTCTTCCATTTTTCAAAGGATTATGAATTTGGGGGGGAAGTATTTACCTAAATTTCATAGGGTGAGCTTGCTGCTGTTTTCTGGGGATCTGTCCATGTTAACCTGTGTGCTCTATGTAAGAAGTCAGTCTCCATTCGGTAGGTGCTGCCTTATGAAACGATTTGTTTTTCAACTGATCTTCCGTGTTCCTCAGGGCTCAGGAGGAGGAAGGTGAGACAGCTGGGGAGCCTCCTCGGAGTCTCCATCGGGTAACCACTGAAAGAACATCGCCGGTCAGTTCCTTCTCACGTTTGTCTAGTTCCTGGGAATCTCTACTGCCAGACCCCATACACCCATCCTAGAGCTCAGGCCGAGTCAATTGGCAGGAATGCTGAGAATGGTGCACCCATCACTCCCCTGGCCCGTCCGTCTTCCCCTCCCCCTTCCAGAGGCTCCTGTTTCAGTTCAGTCTTCCTCATTTTATGGTGTTTACTTAATTCTCTAGTATAACTGACTTCCTCCTCAATTCTGTGTAAATGAAATGCCGGGAGGGGATTATGTGCCTATCCATCGAGGTGCCTTCCCTTTTAGTCTGGTTTTATTTAGTTTAATAAATGTTAATGGATAAACATATCACTGTTCATAGCAGAGGGAAGACCAAATAATTCATGCTGAGCTGTTCTGTTTTTAAACTTTCTGTTTTCCTTCCAATTCACCCCTTCCTTGTCCTCAGAACTGGAGTGTTTTTCTCCCCACTTGCAGGACCTTCTGAGTTCTGGAAGTAGACTCATTCTTCTCTGGCCCTGAGAGTGGGAAGTGCACAGTACCCATTCCTTCTACCCCCATCCTCATGAGCTCCTTTTTTTTTTCTTAATGAAAACTTTTACCACCTTTCTCAATTCCCATTCATCCAGGCCTGATGCCCCAGATTCCCTGGGGTACACATGTGGAGGTCCTGGAGGCTGGGAAGGGGGTTAAGTGGAAGAGTGGGAGAAGAAAACCTTAGAATATCAGATGAAGGGGGTGAGATCTAAGCCTTCTGTTGTACACAAGAAAGGTATGTAGTAGACGTAGCAGAGGAGACAGCAGAAGAGGCTCAGGGATTACTATAGTCAACCAAGATCCCAGGATTTCATTCAGGGGCTCTCTAGAGGGCGTCGTCAGAGGTTATGAGTAAGACAAAACCCAGAAGAGGAGAAAAAAGGGGTCACGGCGGCAAGGTAAGAAGCAGGTTCCAGCGGAGTTTCTGTTGGGGACAAGTGAAGGTATAAAGGCATTTCTGTGGGGGAACAGTTATTTGGTGATGAAGTCAAATGAATACAGACCTGCGAAAGTGAGCAAGAAGAAAGCAAGAAGATGTCTTGTGTACCACCAGCCTATGCACAGCATTCCTACCTGCATGGCGCTACTTCCCCTTCCATTCCTAAGTCATCCAGCCCAGTGCATGCTTCCGTGGATCTCCTGGGTAGAAGTGAAGTGAAGCGTGGTCCTCCTTCACCCCACCCTGTCTTGGTTTCTAGACGTTAGTGAAATCTGGGGACAGGGCAAGAAATTAACTCAGGCTGTAAACTGGTTTTCTGTGAGATACCACTGTATCGGATCTCATGCCCAAACCAGATTTGTGCCCTCTCCCTCTCAGTACCTGAGCCGGGGTAGTGGTAAGAATACTGTCCGAGGAGTCAGGAGACATGAGTTTTAGTCCCAGTTTAGTCACTGGCTTGCTGTGTGACTTTAGGTAAGTCATTTTAATGTGTTTAATGTCTTCATTTAAGAAATGAGAAGGTTGGATTAGATGATCTCAAAAGGTCCTTTCTAGGACCATTCTTCCAAGTACCATTCTTAGATTAAGCCTGCACATTTATGTCTTCATACTCTAAAAACACACATACACAGTGCGTATCTCTGCTGCCTCGTGCCTCAGTGATATTCAGAAACCTGCTCTGGCCCCCACGTGCTTGGCAGGAGGGCAGTAGCAGAAGTCCAGCAGTGGAGGACGCAGGGTCCACCTCAGAAGCTCCCAAGAAAGTTCCTTTTGCATGTGGTAATCCTCCTTCCTGGCCTTTGGTGAAATAATCCCAAACTCCCACTAACCAGCAGGCAGCCATGGCAACAGGAGCAGAGCTGAACTAAACCAAGCCCAGCATTTGCCAAAAAAAAAAAAAAGTTGTGGTCTGACTTCCCAAAATAACCTTGCCTCTACCTCTTCTGGAGACACAGGACTTGAGGCCATGTGGCCAGTGCTGTCCTCCAAAGACTCACTGCTTTCCTGCTCCGTGGCTGTTTTCCCTAGTATAAATCATTATTTGTCTGTGTGGAATTGTATACGGTGTCTGTGTGCATTATTGTGTCCAAACAAGTGTCTATTTAATTACTCCTTGTGTCTGTGTATGTACATGCATTTCATTTATATATGCAATAGAGCCCTGCTCTTCCTATCCCAACCCCCTTTTATCAAAGCTCCTGGAATATCCTGTGTGGGGAATGGGGAGAAGGGGGAAAATGGGGCAAATGCTTAGGGAGAAAGGTGAGTATGATTCCATATGTGTGGCTACTTCTGTATAGCCAGAAGCACTTTATCCAAATATGGAAACCTGCACGTGGCCAGAACCAAAAAGAAACGAAGACAGCAAGTCAAATGAACATGAGGCAATGGCACCAGTAGAAATGGATGGTCTGTTGCTCCATCTTCCGGGGTTCTTTTACCTTTTGTTTTCATGGAGAGCTGCTTTTTTTTAGTGGGGGATGGGGACTCAAGGAAAACAGAAAGGAAGGGGAAAAGGAGGGTGTGGAAGGTTGGGAATTGTTTTGGCCAAAGAGGAATTTTGAAAAATGTTTTCTGCCTGTTAACCCCACTGGAAACATCTCCCCTCCCTATGAGACATAAAATCCTGGGGAATTGGTGGCTGCATTCTTGTCTGTGTGCATGCTGTCTTGGTGCCGGTGGCCATGTAGGATAGACACGTGCTTAGTCTCCGTCTTACGTTGTTTCATGTGAAAAGGGTTGCTCGTGCATGACAAACTCCTTGCCTTCTCTCCCTGTTACGTGAGAAGGGAGTGGGATGGACCAGAATGCAGTCCAGCAAACACATCACTATTAATGTCCAGGTGCCAGGAGAGCTGTCCCGGAGGTTCACCAGACTCCCATTCCTCATGCCACATAGACATTACCTTTCATACATCTGTGCATAAACATATACTCCCTCTCAAAGATTAGTCTATATTGAATTCATTAAGATTTTTCAATCCATTTTGCCTTCTTTCCAAGAATATGGTTAGTCACTTAATTTACTCCTTCCCCCTCCAGTTTTTTCCAGTATGTTCAGTCCAGTTGAGGGTTACCTCTAGCATTCAGGAAGTCTTAGCCTTTCTTTATGTCAAAGCCTCCTTTGGCAGACTGGTAAGCCATGGACCCCTTCTCAGAAGAGTGTCTGTAAATGAATAAAATAAAATACATAGGATTACAAAAAGAAATACAAAAGAAACTAATTATTTCAAAATAGCTTTTAAGATGTTTTTAAAAGTTAATGGACCCCAGGTTATGAACCTCTACTATAAATGCTTTTTTCCATTACGTTACAAAAGCAAATTTGTAATGTAGTGATTTTTATTTATTGCATAAGGGGCATAAATCACTTTTGGAGACCTTCTTTATATCCTTGACCTTCATGGCTGGACATGAGTGTTTTACTTAAACTATTCTTTCAACCTTTGTGACATTTGACAAACAATGTAATTACTTCCCACCCCCTAATACCAGTCTCTCTGAGAATCAGTGGCTGTCTTGCCAAGGACTAGATCACAAGAAATTGATTGATTTTCTCTGTCTCATCATTCATCATGAAGGACTATAAACCAATCCCCCAGCTCAGGGAATGACTTCCCCAGATTTTCCAGAACAGAAGAAAAGGTAACCTGAAGCCTGCCCTGTCTCTGGACCTTGTCTAGAACCTTCTGCAAGGGCAGCTTATCCTGGACAGCGTGGAGGCCCGTTGTATTGTATGCTTGCTGTTCAGATACTAGCACTCTCCTTAGGAATGTCCACTTTCCATCCCATCCCACTCCACTCCACTCCACCTTTCCTCTGCTTCATGAAGCTCACAGGAACGTGGTGCAGGTGATAGGTGAGTATATGGGGGCAACAGAAGGGACAAGATGCAGATGTGCAGAAGGCAAAATTTGGGGTAAGCATACAGGGAGAGGGCAAAGAAGAGGTCATGTGGTCTAGTGAAAAAAGCATCAGGGACCTGGGTTCTAGTAATGGCTTCACCACTAACTAGCTGCGTGGACTTGGGTAAGTTAATTAATTTCCTTTGTTTCTTTATCTCTAAATGATGATGCCATCTATGAAATAATAATTTCCTCCTTACTTTACAAATATGTTGGGAGGTTTGAGAATGTGTGAAAATATCATATAAATGGAAATATTTCAACATATTTGAGAGACTAAAGAAGACCTATACTTAATTTGTTTTTTATAGTCTATCTCTTAGTATCTAGATTATTGACAAGTGTTATCTAGCCAATGCTTGGAGAAGAGGAGATAATTATCATGGAAAGAGACTTTGATTGGGAGTCAGGAGATCCGGGTTCTAGTCTTGGCTTTACACCTTGTTAACTCTATGTCCCTGAACAAGTAGATTTACTTCTAGGTCTCAGTTTTCTCATCCACAAAACTAGGGACTTGAGGTAGGTGAACTCTAGCCTTCGAGCCTTAACACTCATGGATTCCTCTGGTTAGGGATCTAGAATTCTTTCCATAGAGTAGGGATGCACTCCAACCTTTTTAGTGAGATTCCTCCCTCCCACCTCCAGGATTGTACTTTCCTAAGGTGTCCAACATTTAAGAGACCTGAATCTTTTCCCTCCCTGTCTCTGCCTTTTCCTTGCTGGAATAACCCTCAGGCAAGTGTATGCCTCAGTTTTCCTGCCTTTACCTGCACTAACCTGCCTTACAAGGCTATTAATTAACATTTGTGTGAAAGAGTTCTTGTTCTTATTTTCTTTAAAAAGCAATATGCCCATTTTTACTAATGGCAGCATGGCCTACTGGAAGGAATGATGAGCATGGAATCACAGAATGTGAGAATCAGAAGGGACTTCGGTAATTATTTGGTCCAACACAAAAAGGAATCCCACTATAACACAGCCAGTAAGTGGTTTTCCAATTTCTGTTTGATTGTCTCCAAAGAAGAGGAGCCCAACCTCTCACAGGAGCCCATTCCACTGTTGGAGAACTAATTATTAGAAACTTTTTGTTCCCCTGATGCTGAACCTAAATTTGATTCTTTTCATCCTCCATCCATTGGTCCTACAGAACAATCCTAGTCTATCCTGCATGTGACAAGAAGATCTGGGTTCAGCTCACAACTCTAACATTAGCTGTGTGGACATCTATGGGCATGTCACTTAACCTCTCAGAGGGTGAGAACACTTGTAGTACCTACCTCTCAGAGATGTTGTGAAGATATGAATATGCAAATATGAATATGTAAACTTTTAAAGTGTTAAATGGAGATAAGCTATTATTATTATTAAGGTACAAAATCTGGAATCTATTTTCCTTCTCTACTTTTTAAAACCCACAGCTTAGCAGTAATAAAAGGCCCGTAAAACACAGATCCTGTCTGTTTGGGTGGAAGAGAGGGGAAAAGTACAGAAGGAAAGCCACTCCCTGCAGTCTGACAGATAGAAATCATTTTTAGCCACAACTAATCCTTGCTTTGTGAAGACCCTTTAATCCAGGGGCAACACACTGAAGCCTCAGATCCCACTCTTAATCTTGCAACACTGACCCTGAACATTTAGGCTCAATATAAAGGGAAATCTCCTAAAAGTGAGAGTTATTCCAAAGTTGAATTAGACTGTCTCAGGAGGAAGTCCTGCGGGTTTCCCTTCCACTGGAGGTCTTCAAGCAAAGACTAACTGCTTTGGAGGGTCTCTTGTAGTGGAGACTCTTTGGGTGGGTTACGAGTTGGGGTTGGTGGCTCCGGAGGACCCTTTCATATCTGGAATTCAATAATTCTGTGGGTTTAGCTTGAGGATACTAAGTTCCTTGTCTTCATTCCTTTCTCTATCACAGACTGATCTTGGATGAATGATTTAAGTGGCCTGTGCATTTGGATGTGGTCTCATTGAAACAACCAGCCATTTTTAAAATATAAGCAACAACACAACCCGGTTCTTAGAGTGGGGTGAATTGGGAACAAGGATAGCAGGCCCCACTTCCAACATTTCTTCTAGTAGCAGCTTCAGCGGTGTTCCTCTTCTTGTCAGCACTCTTGTAGTTGGCTGGGAGCTTTTAACAAGCCACTAGAACAAACAGTATGTATTGACAGCATTAGATTGAAAAAGAAGCCATTGTTTCTTTTTTGCCTGGACAAGCTTTTACTCCTCTTCTCCTGGCATCACCACCTCCGCCCCATTCCATGAGACAGAGATGACGTGGAAATCACTTGTTCATTAGAGGTAGGCATGGCAAGTAAACAATAATTTCCCCTCAAACATGGGATGGTCTCTCCTCTCTCTGACCACTGGAATGATTAAGTTAATGTGCATAATGGTCCATCTGTCTACAGTGCCAGGGTGCAGTCTCATTGCTCCATCCTTCCAAAATGAAAACTCTTGGACTACTTTCCTGCATCTGCCCACTGCTCTTCCCTCTTTATGTTTACTCGGGGAAGGCACCTGACAAGGTAATTGCCTTGTGTCTCTCTAGATCTCCAGATCATCCTCAGGTCCTTTTTTAAAAATTTCTTTCCTAGGTATGTGTTGGCAGAGTAGGTAACAATAAGATAACACATAAAAACTTCAGAAGTGGACGTGAATATGGAAATCATCATAATACAGCATCCTAGCTGGGATTGAGAGTTGTCCTTTTTCTCTCTAAAATCTCTATTTTTCTCATGCTAATTACTGTGGTTTGGGGGCGGGGGGAGCATCTTATTTACTTGACTATGAGATCCTCAAAGTCAGAGATTATTTTTGTCCGTAGTGTACAGAACTCATTACTCAATAATACCCAGAACCCGTGAGTACCAAATAATAATGCTAATGACGATAATGAAGGCAAGTTCATAGAAGAATAATTATTCTCCTAAGTGCTAATCTACTCATCACCCACCATGTGGAAAGTATTAATCTCTTGGTTTTTTTTTTATCCCTAATCTAAAGGGAATCTGGCCTTTTCTCAGTCTCTTTTCACCTCCATTATAATGTTGGTGTAGTCTTTAACTTTCTGCTTTAACAACTTCATCCTCAGTCTCCATTTCTAATATATGATAGAAGGCTGACCCATACAGTTTAGCTGCTGGGTTATCTTTGTC